CCAGCCGCCAGAACTGCCGGCAAAGCCGTTGCAGATGGTACAGTAACTACGCTCGTTGTCTAAAGCCCTTGCCGAAAGGTTTTCTTGCACCTCTCGCTCTGAGGTGCGATATCAGCCTAAGGAAAGCGTGATATCCTCGTTATTATATCATTTTGAACAACAAAAATTTCATGTTTTTTGAGAAACATGCAAATATGCAAAAACAGAGAAGAGGGTCTTTGAAAAAAATCTAACAATTAACAATAAAAATTTAGATTTAAAAGAAAATGATCACAAATTCAACTCACTTCAACAACTCAAAGGTAGTAGAAGCTGAAAAGTTCAAAAAATTTCCAGGTTTTTAGAAATTTTTTCTCGCTTTTACGTCGAAGAACGGACGAGAACAATTGCAGGAAAATGTCATGGATATAACGGTAAGGAAACTGTCAAAATGATTATTTCATACATAGTGGTGTTAAGCGAGCTAAATAAGGCAAAGTAGGTCAATCAAATTGAGTAGGTCAATGATGAAAGGTGAAAATATGCCATATCTGCTGATACAGAAGGGACTCACCAAGAAGCATGTACAATTTCAATCTACACAGTTCACTTCTCCAGATATCTCGAAAATAAAAAAATAATAATGAAAAATTCGGAATTCACAACTCATTGCAAATAATAAAGTTCACGAAAGAACCACATTTTGGTAATCCTTTAACAAAACCGCATTTCGAAATCTGAAGCGTTCATAGAAAAGTGTATTTGATTTCTAAGAATTCTTTATTGGAAAATCAAGTATACTTGAAACTACAGCGTCCATGGTTATTTATTATGCTTTGATCTCAAAATTTGTAACAGAAAAAACTGTTTGATTTTCTGCTCACTCACTTTTGTATTGTTTGTGAACTTCTGAAAATTTTTCGATGTAGTTTTGTATTCGACTGTATGGTTCCCAATGAAATATGACTTAGCTGTGTAAACTGATACAGATATTGAGGATATCACGCTATTATTGACCTACTCAATTTGATTGACCTACTTTGCCTTATTTAGCTCCTTAACATCACCATGTATGAAATAATCATTTTGACATAGTTCTCTTACCGTTATATCCACGACATTTTCCTGTAACTGTTCTCGCTCACTCTTCGACATAAAAGCGAGGATGAAATCTCTAGATATTTGAGCTAGTTTTTCAGCTTCTGCTTCCTTTGAGTTTCTAAAGTGATTCAATTTTGTGATCATTTTCCTTTAGAAAAAAACCCTCCTCTGTTCACCTTTATTAAATTGCATGTTTCTCACAAAAACATGAGATTCTGTTCAAAATGATATAATATCGAGGATATCTTTCCTTAGGCTGATATCGCACCTCAGAGCGACGAGGTGTGAGAAAACCTCTCGGCAAGAGTTTTAGACGACGAGCGTTTTTACTGTACCATCTGCAGCGGCTTTGCCGGCAGCTCTGGCGGCTGGCTGCGGTAGCAGTCGACTGCCCGGGTACCACTTGCACGCCTCCCTGAAGTTACACCGATTCGCGACGCGACATGGCGTTCATATCGTCGCCTATTTCGCTAGATATTGTAAAAAAGTACCAAGACAAAATATTTTGCAAAATTTGAGCAGACTTATAATTAAATAAGACGCTGATTTCAAATATTTTATCAGAACTTCAATTGAAGAACTTTGAGCCAAGTTACAGTAGTGCGGCACTTTCAGCACGATATTGCGTTCATATCGCCGCTGGCGTAGAGCCAAAAAAGCTTAAAAACAAGATTTTGGGGTTTTCGAAAGCGTTTTCAGGTTTTTTAGGAGTTGCTGGTTCCAAACAACAAACTAGAATTTCATATGTTTGTGTTGAAGAAAGTTATGAGGGCGCGGCGATACCAACGCGACAATGCGTTTATACCGCCGATGGTCCCAAAAAAGTTCTTTGCAAACGAGATTTTCAAATTTTTGAAAACATTTTCAGATTGTCCGAAAGGAGCCAGTTTCAAAAATTTAAGCTAGAGTTCAATTGGTTGAAGCTCAAGCAAGCTATCGCAATGCGGCACATACGGCGCGACAACGAGTTTATTTCGCAGAATTTCAAGGCGGCAGTGTTGGTACTGTAATAGCACGTCAAAGTGAGAAGTCGCAAGACGGCCATAATTTTTGCAGCAGCCTGATATTCATGGATAGTACCATATGTATAATGCAAAATGGCCAATTTGGAGGTCCCTAGATATTAGGTTGTCCGGTAATTAATGCAGGTTTTGAATTCCAACCGCAATAAGTCACACCTTTTTTATTTATAAGTAGGTTGCAAGACACCATTCGATAGAACAAAGCGAGCTCTACAAGATGACTATCTTGCTTTAGCAAAAGCTCTGATCCACCACGAGTTTCAAGCCAAAAACTAAAAAGATTGAACTGCCCGAAAAATTGAGAAAAATCGTAACTCAGTTCATAAAAATTCTACAAAAATTCTAACTTGCTCACGTAAACACAATCCACATAAGGCATCTGTATACGCCATTGCCGCATTTTTTTCTTTGTTAGAAATCAAGAGAACGGAAATTTTCGCGCATTTGCCAAAGTGATGCTATGCGGTTCCCACATAGGTAAATGTATCCTACAAACCTGTAGAAGTACAAACGTAAATTTCCAGCTCTCTACAAGCTTTAGTTCTCGAGAAATTTGAATTTTAGCTTGGACCACATGACTAGAAAAAACTGTATTCGATATTTCTCGAGAACTAAGGCCTGTAGAGAGCTGGAAATTTACGTTTGTACTTCTACAGGTTTGCAGTATACATCTACCTATGTGGGAACGGCATAGCATCACTTTGGCAAATACGCGAAAATTTCCGTTTTCTTGATTTCTAACAGAGAAAAAAATACGGCAATGGCGTATACAGATGCCTTATGTGGATTGTGTCTACGTGAGCAAGTTAGAATTTCTGTAGAATTTTTATGAACTGAGTTACGATTTTTCTCAATTTTCAAGGCAGTTGAATCTTTTTAGTTTTTGGCTCGAACCTCGTGGTGGATCAGAGCTTTTGCTAAAGCAAGATAGTCATCTTGTAGAGCTCGCTTTGTTCTATCGAATGGTATCTTGCAACTTACTTACAAATAAAATGTATGACTTATCGCGGTTGGAATTCAAAACCTGCATTAATTTCCGGACAACCTAATACTTTCTAGAAATAATTCCGATTTTTAGGGCAGTTGAAAAAATTGTACGGCTCTAAACTTAACGATTGTGATTTAGAGATCTTCGGTGGTCATTATGCAGAGCTGGCTTTATTCTGTCATATCCCATGTCTGTTAGGAAAACAAAAACAGTCTGATTTATTTAGAATCGGCTTACTTTTGGGACAGCCTAATATTTTTTAAAAGTAAAACTTCGTCATGTCGACACAGCTTTCCGTACCAGAAAGTACAGAGTGGCACCACAAGAGCACCTAACTGTAACAACACAATAATTTGTGTCTGCTTTTGTTTAATTTAGAGTGTTTGAGCTGGAGTAACGTTTATTAACTATGCAACGGTTTGGGCCCAGCGAGCGCGTCGTCGATCGATCACATCATCCATCTCAAAAACTTTTGACTGAATTTTTCATTTTTTTGATAAGGCATTTATGATTTTATTTCTATTCTCTACTCTTTCTACTATTTCTACTCTATGCTAATGAAAGAACGTGTGGACATACTAGGGTTTCTGTGGATCTTACATGGTTCTTTCTTGAACATTACTTGTATTACAATTGCGGAATATTTAAAACCAAGCGGATTCAATCAGATAATATTCCCTAACTTCTGTTTCGCTCTCTAAGTTTTCATACGAGAAAGAATCTTCAGAATTATTGCCAACTTAAAGACAAACTCTTCACTGCTGCAAAATCATACGAGAAAAACACCAAAATTTTTCGTGGTGTATATAATTGCATAATATACATACATATGCTTTTATATCAAGTTGTTCCGAAAGTTTCGTCGGCTTCTTTCATCGGCCACTCTACCGTTAAACTTTAAAACCGTCTTTACGATGTTATCGCCATGGATCTTTGAGCAGCTCACAGATAACGCCAATTCTTCCCGGAATTTGTAAAAATCTTATCCCAACCTTTTCGAAGAGCGCTGTTCAATGTTACGTGAAGTAAACCTTCGAGTACATTACACTCATTTCAGATTACATTCACGTTCATCAAATCTCTAATGACTGTTTATTTGGGAAATGTCGCGACTTTTTGATCATTTTTAACGCATAGGAATACCGAAAATAGCAAAAAAGCTGGTTCTTCAAAGCAAACACACTTAACTATGTTGCACAAACGTTCAAAAATTTTTTCAAAAGTTCAATTTTTTCGTTCAAAACGTTCAAACTCGAAGGAACTTTTAACTTTTATGTTTTGCCGCAGTTTCGCTTTTCTTGACTTTACCAAAAATCAAGACATCCGAAAAAATCTTTTTTGAAGTTAAACGCATCTAAAAATGCTTTTGCATAGTCCGAGGTCTACTGTGTCTGCGTCGTACTTAAGCCTTTTCAAAATTTTGGGATACAATTTTTAACAACCTAATTTAATTTTGAGCCAGCACAAATGACGGGTGAAGAATTTTGGCAATTAGCAAAAAGCTTATAAGGAAATGTGATTCGAAATTGTAATTATAAGAAAGAAGAGAAGAAGCTGCATCGAACACATGTTGAAACTCATCTAAATCTCCATTGTACCTGGTTTTACAGTCGTTTAAAAAACCGACAAAACTTTCGGAACAACCTTATGTTTGACAAACATAGAACTTTTACTACTTTGGACTAAGCAAATGGCACAATAATTCTAACCAATTATTTTTGTATAGTTGGGTTTCGCCCAAAGCTATCTCCGTAGTTTAGACGCTATTCTCTTTGAACCCGTATAAGTAAATCATTTTTTCACTGGTGGAAGCATTTTTCTACTTTCCACAATTCCCCACATCACTTTTCCAAACACTCCATTTACATTCGAAAGCTTGACGATCTGAGCACTAGTGACAATTATTTTTAGATTTTTCTGTAATATGCGGCAGAAGACAATGTCTTACAAACTGTTCTTCATCTTGGTTCTGCTACATGTCGCTGTTGGGCGCGAGGTGCGCGGTCCCTCTCAAAGAAAACTGGAACGGTTCAGAGGAGTTTCTTTGAAGGCTGTACCCCCAGAAGTTTTTACCTCTGTAGGTTTGACTGTAATTATCAATATACTGAATAGCCATTTGGCTTTTGCAGTGCCTGCTCCGTTGTCAGAAACGTGATCGGTGTCAGATAGGAACGAGACAAAGTGGCCGGTTTTCGTCGCAGGATAAATGTTACAGATGCATTGAAAGGTGCTGGCTCGACAAAACATACGTTAGTCCTAAATCTATAGAAGTGTGATGAGTAAATGACGTTGAGCTCAGTCGCTTACATCAATATCGATGCTATTTTATCCATTCCTAACCATTCACACTTCACCCATCTATTAGGTCGTTTCATAAGTTCGTAGAATTTTTATTTTTTGTCGCCGTTTTTCGACTGAGAGGTTGGTTTATGGCAAACTACCTGTATCATTTGAAAGAGAAAATCTTGCTCTACAAGAACTGTTGTTCGTTTCTGGAACAAACCCAAATCCCCTTCCTTGACGACTTCTCAAAGCAAAATTTTTTGAGGGGCAAAAATTGGCGATTTGGGCACTTGCAGCTTTCGAACTATTACGGAGTCACAAGCGGAATTTTTTCATCTAAAATTGTTATATATGATGAAAAACGACTTTCTGTGCGACTACGGTGCATGTAAAAGCAGTCTCCTTATCTAGAGACGCTATAAAGAAGGACTAAGCGCACCTTTACCATGTATGAGATGTTTTGCGTTTGATACAATTTAAAGAAGTCCCCACTCCAAAATTTTTTTGAGGAAGCGTAAAATGTTGGCCAGAGCTTGTACTCTTATTTCTGCACCACTTAGAAGAACCTATCCATTCCTCAAGGCCCGATAGGAGGACCGACACATTCTGTCGCTAAACAACGCGCAAAACTCAAGCGGCAGCAGGCAATGACAACAACTATCGGGATCTTGTTTAGACGGTTCCAAGCACACTGGCATGCTACAAATTTGTCAGCATACCACTCTTGCTTGCCACTATCATTCTGCCTACATATGACAATAGCATTTTGCGGGATACGGACCAAATGCGGGAAGTACAGTTGCCGAAATCGCCAATTTTAGCCTCTCAAAAAACTTTGCTTTAAGAGGTTATAAATCAGAGGGTTTTAGATTCGCATCGATTATAAACAAAGGTTCTTGTAAAGCAGGACTGGTTCTTTTGAACGGTACAGGTACTTCGACGTGAAACAGCCGCTTTATCGAGAAGTGGCTACAAAAACAAAATCTACGGACTTATGAAACGACCTAATACTTCGACAGTCATGCAGCACGAATTTATCCTCCGTCAATAAAAATGACATAGACTCCCGTAAATTACCAGAAAATTCAAATGTCAAACAAAATGGCTGGTTTAGCTATACATCTGATGTTATCACTTATAGATTTCACAGTTTTTCTGTAAATTTAGGAAAACTACTGACAAAATGGCTACTAGACTCATTTTCAAGGTGATGGGATCTGTGCTCTCTAAATATCGCACTAATTTCTTTCGTTTCAAATCTCAGTATCTCAGCGGGCCTCTACTATACCTGCTTAAAGCCACAAAATACAAAAGCCTTAACATCTTAATGACAAAGCGCATTTCCAGTTGTCCTCTCTGTGGGACAACTGGAAATGTTCCAAGAAAAAGTTTAGCACTTTTAGCTAAAATCATGCAGATCGTATCTACAGTATACATGCAGTAATTCTGGAAATCAGCCGAGAAACGTGGAAGTATCTGCCACGTTGAGAGCGTAAGAGGAATTTTGAAAAGAATGTGTCCCAAAATAGTACTCATTCTAACAGAATTCTAGTCATGACCCACAATGTGGGCCACATTGTCCCACGTAGCATTGCATGGCCCACATGTGAGTCACGTGAATGTGTTAAGGTCGTTCTTTTAGTGCGTTTGAAGCCAGTCTAACATTAGTGGTGCACGCCAGACATCCGTATAAAACAAAATATGTTCCAAACGCAGCTGAAATACATGTACCTTTTTGTACTCTTCATGAAATGAAGAAGGCATACAAGTCCATAGATTTCATAGTTTAAGATATACGAACACATAATAAAAGATATAGCTGGTACGGCACTTAGGCTCCCGCCAGAGTGCCGAAGTTATGCCAGCGCTACGCCAGCATTTCGATCGATACACGTGTATTTCGTTGGGCGGGGCTAGCTGACGTCCCCAACGAAATACACGTGTATCGATCGAAATGCTGGCGTAGCGCTGGCATAACTTCGGCACTCTGGCGGGAGCCTTATCATATAGTCAAACTTTGAAGTTTGTTTCTAGTAGCAAAGTATCATTGGCGTTGCTGCTAACGTAGGAGATTGTGTAGCCTAATCACAACAAATCTACTACGTATTGGTGCAACATCGGTTTTATTTCTACCATTATCAGTCTGTTAGTCATATGACTGAATAATCATGATATTGCGCAGGATCGAAAAAAATCGGGACATTTACGGTGTATTAAGTGTGTATCCAGCGCTTTCGGTGTATCCGCTTGGGGTCAGACCGGTCGAGAGCATTTAGCGTGGTTATGCCTTCCACTGAGCCTGGCATACTCATAAATAGATGGTTAAACCGTTTGAAAACAATGATATGTACCTACTGTTGTGCTTATGTCAACCAAATATTTTATTTCTGGTCAAATGCTAGTGCGATTGATACTCTGCCCACCACCATTTAGGGTATCCTTTCGAGCCCTGTATCCAAAAATGATTTTGGCAAAGTTGAAGAGCCCTTTTAGGGCTGCAATGTACGATGTGACGAATATACAAGGGACCACCAGGCAAAGTTCCCAAAACGGTGACATATTTACCGTAATCATGAATATACCATCGGAAGCCTTGTCAGAAAGTTTGCTTTCCGCTAATGGATTGGGTCGCTCGTCTTTTTATCTATAGGTAAAAGGATGATCCAACTTTTCGACAATTTATTCTTATGAAATGTTGTTCAAGCACTCGTATACAAGTACCGTCAACCTTAACCGAACAGATAGATTAAGCTTTGGCTCGAATAAAAGGAAACAGAAGTTTGTTTTTATGGTGAAAATGAGGTGAAAAAACTGGACAAGGTTGCGTCGTGCGGTCGTGCGGTGAGGTGACGTGAAGAATTGCGTTTCTTTTTTTCACATTTTAGTACTGAAAGGTGCTGATTTCAGGTCCTAAAACATATTGATTAGGGCAGACCGAGCCTTACAGTAAACCGACAATGCAGACCAACATTGTGTTCGTACTGTTTCATTCCTCAAACTTTACAGTTCAACTTACCGTCAAATCAAGCAGACGATGATGGCGCGCGAGAGCGTAAATTCTTTATAGAAAAGTTAGGCGCATAGCTTCAAGCTTTATATTCTAGAACACATTTAGACAAGGAAAAGCTGAAGAAAAATGTAGGAATGCTAATTTTTTTAGGCAGTTTTTTCACCTCTGCAGTAATAGTAATGAATTTTCAAATTTAGGTACTTGAGCATCCGGAAACTTCTCCTTTAAAAATGCTTGTCACTTCTTTCTGCAAATATTCGGTCTTCTTTCCAGACTACAGAATTCTTGCGCATTCGGACAGATTTATGTCTGATTGCCATTCAACAATGTACTTATTTGGTTTCCCTCATAGAGGCAGTGCTGAATATTTTCATATCTAAAAACTTGGTTCGGATAAGGTTTACTGTACACAATTTGGTGTAATTAATCTGTTCTATGCAATTTTACAAGATATTACGACGTTATAATATGCTGGGGGCAATGAAAATTGCAGGCTTTGATACATCAAGAGAATGTCCATAACTCAGGGCATCAGACTAAAAGGTTTCGTTAGCTTCACATCATCGAATGGATAGAATGGATGACCGATGGCACTAAAATATCCGTTATGAATCATTAAGATTGCAATGCTTTGGCAACTCACTGTTCCCAGAGATGTAGCCTCACAGTAGTTTTGATGTCGTGAAGTTTCTTCATTTCTCCATCGGTGAGAGCAAAATCGAAGATGTTCATATTTTCTTTGAGTCTGAAACATAATCTTGACTATCGGGAAAATTTTTGAAAATCAAAATGAGATAGACTATGTTGCTATGAACAGCGTACGCTAACACTATTGGCGCAGAATTATTAGGTGTTGTTTTGTTTGTTCACACTTCATAAAATTATTACTTCTTTGCTTCACGATAGAATTCTTTGAATGTATTTTTATTCAAAAGCAGAGAATGTGCGCTATTTTGCCTTTAACATGAAGAAAATGTTGGAAGCAGATAAAGAGAATTATAATAGATTGTATTTTCAGCAGGATCCGATAAATTCTTACGCTGATTTTATTTGATAGAGGAAGTTGCGCGCATTATAAAAAAACCTTTGGTGGCTTGAATTGGAATGGAAACTACTTGCGAGGTTTAGAGGCAAAAATAAATTAGTCAAAATAGCTTTATATAAGCAATATGGCAAATAAACTGAAAGGTCACAGATTGAGACTTTAGTAAAAGTTGGTATTTTGTTACGAAATGGTTGCTTGCTACCTTAAATCATATGCTTGAAAACTTTTCCGTAAATAAAAAACCATGAACAATTTCCTTTATTTGATTTTGAACTCGCAAATCTTCTCATACTATTTGACATCAAAGATATTGCTGCAAAGCGCATGATTTCTGCTTTCACATGAAGAATCCTTCGCGAATTCCCATGAGGGAGAAAAGAAGTTGAAAATTCTTGGAAAAAATGCGATCGAACTTTGGACCAACTTATTAGATACCAATCAACAAATTCCAGCTCAAAATCTCCAACAAAGTCTCATTAAAAAGATTTGCGCCCTTTTAGAGGTATCATCCCGCTTGTTATATAAATTTTTGGACAACACGCTCCTAAACTTCCCCACTTACCGGTCTAGTTTGACCGTTTTAGGAATGGCTATAATATCCTGCTGTACGACAAAACGCAACAGAATCTGTGCTGGGGTCTTTTTATACTTGGCAGCAAGTTCTTTCACAATAGGATCGGTCATTGGATCCCCATCTGGCCACGCCATTTTTGGAACAGCTTCCTGCAACAATGTGAGGTTTTTATAAGTCTCTTTTAAAATATAAGCACTACCTTCCTTCCCGGCGAGCCGATAGGAGCATAAGCAGTGACGGATATGTTCAATTTTTTGCACAGTTGAATAAGTTCCGGTTGTTGCAGGTATATATGGTATTCGATCTAAATCAAATGCAAGTTAGACTAGAACTAGGAGCTCGGAGACAGCATGAGTGATTTGATAGTTTAGCGAAAAGAAACCTCTGCCATATTTTCTCTGATTATTCAATAGAATGTTGCAATTGCTAGTATACATAATTAATATGACGACAGACGTATTTATATTTCAAATAAAATTATCATGGATTGTAAGCTCTGCAGAATACCTCAGCTCCTACTAACAACATCTGAAAATGTTCTGACATTGAGTTCAAAAGTTATTTAGTCCTCTGAACCTATTTTGTTCTACATGAAGGAAAATGAAAAAGAGGAGAATTTCAACTAACGAACTGTCAATGAAAAAGTTAATAATGGTGTGGGCACTGGCTCGTAGATTTTGTCCAGCAAAAGGCTTTCTGATACAACAAAACTTTGATGATTTTTGACGAATAGCGCTATGTACCTTTGTAAGATTTCAGTAAATCACAAAGAGGAGCAATTTTCTTCCCCAAAGCTTCCTTTAGGACAGTTCGCCGAAAACGAGTGCGGAATCTTATAAAATAATATCGTTCGGAACGCAAAATTGGAAAAGCGCTTGAATGGAAATAGAAAACAGATAGCTGTTAGAAAAAAAGACTGTATTTCAATCAAAACGTTCTCTTCTAAGAACTTTTTCATGTGCTAAAGTTAGGAAACCAAACATGATGTTTAGGGACCATTCTGATTCAAAAATCAAGCCTAATTATTTTCTTTATCGCCGAATCAGATCATTTTTTGACAAAGTTACCGAAATTCTTATCCGGTCTCCAGTCCAAACGACTGAGAATAGCAGCTTCAAGTGATAACCATCACCTGAGCAGCTTTACTCGTTTATCTGTTGCCTAAATCTTGTGCTCCACCCATATGGTGACGTTTTCGAAGTTTTACAATGACATTTACCTGCAAATTTGCCGGCTTGATACGTGCATTATCATAAACTCTTTGCACCTGTTTAACATTGAAGTTTGATAAGCCTAGAGCCTGTAAATTTGTTCTGCTATATGGAATCAAAATTTAATAATTCTGACAATGAGGAGACTACCTTCAGCTTTCCTTCATCGTGGAGCTTTTCCATAGCACGCCAGGTGTCAAGGTGATCAATCGGGTCAGGCACTTGCATACCATTTTCGAAGTGCAGGTCAAATTTATCTTTTGCTCTCTGTAAAAGTGGTTAGAAAGTTGTAGATCATCTGCCGATATAAGGATATCCAAGGCACGAGAAGAAGTTCTCGGGAAAAGTTTGGGGAAGAGGGGAGGGTAAAATGAAATAGAATGTTGGAAGGCTCAGCAATGAAAGCATAACCAAGTTCAACAAATAGAACTCTTCAGCAGTTTTGCTATCCCCCCCCCGCTCCTCCGTACTTGCCAATAAGCGCCAAAATGCATAAAGCTAAGGTTTTATCATTTTTTCACAACAAAACACCCTACCTTGAAAGGTACCGGACCATGAATTAGGTAAAGATCAATATAATCCGTTTGTAGAGCCTCCAACTGCATATTGACTAGTTTCGGCACATCTTGCGGAGCATGACCAAATATTGGGAGCTGAACAGATCAAACAAAGTCTTGTTCGTACCTTCTTAGGAAGATTTCTCAAATTTCCAGTCAAAACTTAGAAATTGTGCGAAGGTAAGGTACAGTCCACAATTACAAAAATTAATTCAAATACAAATATATAATTATTATAATTCAAATGTAGTAGTACTCACAAAGTTCCATTTTGCACCTGTGCGACTTGAAATTTGGTTGTGCAATCATTATAAGAGCTGTTTGATTTGACTTATTTATATTGAGATAATGTTTTGCATTTCTTCATACTTCACATCATAATTAAATGTAATTGAGTCTGCATGAAAATTTACCAACAAATAATTACTCTAGACATTTCTGCCTTGAAATTATTGAACTTTTGCTGACAGTATAATTGTATATAGTATTACCCAACCTTGGTTGTAATGAACACATCTTCTCTTTTGAGCTTTCCCGTCGCAAAGTACTCTTTGAGTGTTTTACCAATAACTGCCTCGTTTTTGTAGTGGTAAGCAGTATCTGAAATATCTTGAAGTAAGTAGAAGAGCGCGATTACCGCGAAGTCATTCCGTGTAAATATATAGAAAGGGAGCCATGTTTATGTGGTGCTAAGTGTAAGTTTTTTAGGATGAACTTAGAAAGAACTTGAGAAGAGCTGCTTCCCGGAGCCATTGACGAGAATCATTCAGTAATAGTTCAGAAGTTCCCGTTCAAGGGGGGGGGGGGAGGGTAAGACAAAAATTTTTCTTGAAGAAAGGTGAGTGGTTTTAGCCATGCATAAAAACTTTTTTGAGAGATTTCATAATAGTTTTGCGGGCCCGCAACCTCGCAATTTCAAAAAATACGTGGAGGAAGCTTACCCCCCCCCTCCCCTCGGGAAATTTTCTGGAAGCTACTTTCAATAAAGACATGAAAAAAGCTCAAATTTGATTCAATTTCAAAAAAACGTGGAGGAAGCCATCTTACCCCTCCCTCCCTCCCCTTGGGAAATTTTCTAGAGGCTACTTCCAATAAAGACATGAAAAAAGCTCAAATGTGTATTCAATTTCAAAAAAAAACGTGGAAGAAGCCATCTTACCCCTTCCCCCCCCCCCTCGCTCCCCTTGGGAACTTTTCAAGAGGCTAATTTCAATAAAGACATGAAAAAAAGCTCAAATGTATATTCATTCATGCCATTGGTATTTGATATGTCGATGCTTCTACGGCGTAATCAATTGAAAACATTTGGATCCTTTTTTACTTCGCGTTATGCACCTTGTATAAAAATCTTACCAATTAAACGATAACCGTCGTCAAGTGCGGCCTTCAATGCCGTTGTCAATTCTTTTTCGTCAGTGGCCTGAAATATAGTTTTGGCAGACACCGTGATCAGTGATGCAAAATCTTCCCTTGTGTTGTAAACTGTAACCAGTAATAGCATCATTTTCAACTCCGCGTGGGATTAATGGAAAACTGGTGGCGAAACAAATTAATGGCGAAAATCTGTTGGTAATAGCCCAGTAGGAGTAGTTAATGATTCCAACGGGTCTCGCTTCATTGAGTCATCAAAATGTTGAAAATGGTAGAGATACTAAGAAGCCGGGAATCCGCTGCGTTATGGTATTTATCGGTTTAGCTTTGAGTCTTTCAAGATTGGCATTTTAAGTATCAGTGAAATTCAAATTTTACAGATGAGATAAAATTAATTAGAGCCTTGTTATTTGAAATTTCAGAGTATATGTGTTGTTCTCTAGGAAGTAATGAAAACTGCGCGGATCGTCTTCAAAATTTTCTTTCCCCTTGATTGAATTGTAAGATAAATGACCTTTTTAATTTTGTAATATAATATTCCTGCGATGCGGTGACACTTGCGCTTGGAAAATGGCTAGAGGACAAAATTTGAATTGGCTCTAGGTCCTACACGCAATCGTTTGAACAAAAAAGATGTAATTGAGTGTTCAAACCATCATTATGAAAATGTTAGCTTAGTTGGAGCAATTCGGTAAAAGACTCACCGTCCAGGTTCCGAGGCCTAGAACAGGCATTAAGCCACCTGATGAAAGTTTCACTGTCTTGATAACCATTTCTTGAATAACTAAATAACAATTATGTTTTGAAAACCCACGGAACCGCTTTCTTAACTTGAACCCAAGCTGGCAAAAATGCGGTAGGTCATATTTGAATAACTGAATGGCAGAGAATGGAATGCTTCATTACGATGCAGTCATTGGAAATTGACCTCATAATGAAGCGAAGAAAAAAAAAAGCTCTGCAAAATTAAGCACCCCATTTCTTCATATTTTCATATCTTCAACGTCATATAATAAACGAGGTTTGTACGAAGTCAATTTGTACTCATTAGCCTACAACAAATTAACAACATTTTGCAAAAATGAAAGATTATCAAAATAATTTCTTTTTTCAAGAAATGAAAGGCTCGTTTTGCAAGTCCTAGCCTTTACAATTTTTTGAATATTGAACATAATTTTGGAGGAACCCATTTATCATGAACATTGCATGGATCTTTTGAAAGCTTTTTTTCTCCAATTTTTCAAAATCATCTTCATTTCTACAGAGCTGTTCATTCGTGGTTCCTTACTTTGAAAAGGACAGCACAATAAAAGTGGAGAATTTCGTTTTTACTTTATCGCTGTGCAATCAACAGGCAAAAAAAGGAATTTGAAACATCTACAGGTTCGCTAGAGGCTTGGAATCATCTAGATGTGTTTTAGGGAAATTTGAAACTTATGAATTTTTAGCTTAAACATGACTTGTCGTCGTGTTCCAGTTACACAAAAAACATAAGCGCAACAATTACGAAACTTTGCACTAATTGGTCAAAATAGGTCTAGAAGATTTGATATTTAAAAAAGAAAAAATTTTCTTAGTTGTCAGCAAGAGCAAAAACAAAGATAAAAAATAACACTTTTTGTATTCCGAGTTTATGGCATTATGGCAAAAATGCTCTTTATGAAGAATTTCGATGAGATTTGATTTAAGCAGTGCTAGGCAGATAAATATTAACTACAAAACAAGCACGGCTGTGCATACCTACTACATTCCATTTCAAGTTATGGTTTCTTGAAGTATAGTTTTCAAAGAAAATGTTTGGCGACATTTGCATAGAAAGTCTTTTTCGTTTCTGTTGTTTGTGACTATGCATAGGGTGCTAAAAAATTGCAGATTGTAATACACTCTTAACTCACAAATATTGATTCTCAAAAGAGCTATTGTGAATCAAATTTGATAGTTAAAAACGGGTAAAACTTCTGATGCAACCCATTACATGATTGCAACAAGGGACATGCGAATTGAAATTTAGGGAACAAGGAAAGTTATTAAACGACACCAACGATCATATGTATTGTTAAAAGAGCAAAGATTTTGCATTCTGTGTTACACGCCTATGGCATTAAATCACCATCATGACTGATAGAACAGTGCAGAATCAGTAATGCAGAGGCGAGAGCATGGAAAAAATATGGCTTCCTACTTTCTGAACCAGCGGTCATAAAAATTGCAGTACACAAGGCGATTGCTGAAAAGAGATTGACAACATTAATACAGATGCAGAGATATGCTGTCAGTGACATCAGTGTTTGTACCCAGATGAATACAAAATAAAAAAGTAAAGTGAAATCATGATTTCTGCTACATTGAGCTTATACCTATTCAAGGTCTATCTGCCTACCTACTTTATATGAAGGAAAAAAAACAGAAGACTTTACACTGCTCTTCAAAGACGGGTTAGTGAGACTGTGACAAAAACGCATATGAAAGTTCTTTAGATTGTGCGTCCTTGAGTTATAAGTTATGAGTGGACTTGTAGTGTTGTTTGACCTTGACGGCAATCAAAACCCCATTGTCATCGAGCATAGAGAAGATAGAATCAACATAGTATTACTTCGGTCTTTTTTTCGGTAGGACTATAGAAGCACACCAAGATATTTCACGAAATTTTTTCTACAAAGCTAAACTTTAAATCTCAAGAGTAATCGCACACAGTGAAAAAGTTTACTTGCTTTATTCTATTCCTTCAAAGACACCTTCAAGTTTTCCCAATCAATTTTCGAGTTTTGGCTTATCCTCCCCTCATCCTCGTCGGCTCTACTCTGAAACTGTACATATCGTGCATGATCTTATGTGCAAAAACTACTATCATAAAATGTATTAGAACTTCGAAACATTTGGCATATGTTGTGTTCTTGTCATCTGGCATGCTTTTTGCTCGAAAGGGACGATGGATAACTAGCAAATACTTAAGACGAGCCGAGGAGGGTTACAGTAGCAGGCCTTCAACAGATGTTGTTTCTCTGATAATGATTGAGTCAAACAAAGACCCATTTAAGACAAATTAGCACCGTAAATTTAAGGCTCGACACGAGTTGGCTTAAAATGCAAGAAACAAAGTCTTTCCTAACTTTCGCAAAATTTTACGAAGTCCCCTTTGACCTTCATCCAAATCCGAAGCGAATAAAAACGAAACATCGACTAGAAAAACATTTTTTCGGACTTACAAAAACGATATCCTTTTGTCCCAAAAACGATATCCAGCTTGCTTATAAGCTACTCGTGCCAATCCCTGCGTACATTGAATGAGTCAAGGATGCTGTCGAATGTAAAAAGGCTCTGTAGACCTTTATAGTTTTTTTTCAAATCATAAAACGACTCAAAAAATTTAAAAAAAAAGTTCTTCTGTCTTTCCTCTATAAAAAGGCACATGATTGACTCAGGCAGAAGATGTAACTGTAGGTTGCTATCGGAGAAACAAAAAAATGATATGCATAATGTTATTCTACGTAATATCGTGAAATACCTCCATACTTTACTTCTACAACGCTTAACAGAGGAGATGATGCAAATCACAATTAGTGATTCAAGACGTTAAGAAGTCCAAAAGAAACTAGAACTGATATTGTGAAAAGTATTCCAGGTGAGATAAAACGCTATTACTTTGAAACTATTCTGCAGCACCTTGCAGAGACAGTAGATTTACTAAACAAAAATGATGACAAATAATAGTCATACTGCGCTTTGCTCTGTTCTTTCATCGCTGTGCAATGTTATATAAAAAGTTGCATGCGCGGATTGCATTGATTCATTGGTCCTCACACGTATTTGAAATTGCTGGAAAGTTTGGAATTTTTTGAAAATTCCTTCAGACGAATTCCTCTCTACCCCTTGCAAAAAGATCTTTCGTATTAGCGAACAACTATGAGGATAATCAACGAAGTAAGGAAGGAATAAATTATCATAAAAGTCAGAAGGCGATATGTCCACAGGAGATAATAATACGGTAACTAATGAAATAGCGCAAAAACACGCTATTTGAACTTCAAAGACTTTTTACGTGTTTATGGGCAATATCAAAGTCAAGTCAGTCAAAGCCTATACGAGGAAGTTTAGACCACATTTCCAGTTTTTGGAGCAATCAGGTATGAGCCGTCTCCAGTGATTCAAAACCATTTTTACGCGCAGCTGTGATTACTACTTGGGATTGCAGCATAATTTTAGTCTAGAGCAGACAATTCTGTCCTCTAAGACACCAAAACCTGAGTGTGTCAAATTGACAACTGTCTCTCATGAGCTTGCGCTACGCTGAGGGAAAAACAGGGGAGTCACAATAACAATAACGATTTGTTGAAAGGATTTCTACGCTAGCACAAAATTGTGCTTTCTAATCTTTTATGAGCAACTATCATGTTATCAGTCTCTATATATATATAAGGTCTAAGGCATACTTCACGCGATTCCACTCGCTGCGCGATTTGGTACCGGAACGAATGTTCATAAGTGGTCGTCAGAGCGCTTTTTCAAGGCAGGACTTGATCGGTTTGCAACAATTTACAGAAGCTATGCGTCCATGTGTGGGAGGACCGTGCACGATAAATTTTCGGAGATATCTGGCAAACTGCCAGGTCGCGTGCACTTCGCGATTTAGCCGAATCGCGCTAGGTATGCCTCAGGCCTAAAGCAGAAAATCTGTGTGTTTGTGTGTCTGCGCACATCTCCCAGAGTCATGAATGATGAATGAGCGGTGAAGCTCATTTTGATCGGCTGGTTCAAGATATGGTAAGGACGGTAGGAAGCGACGCCAAGACGAATCGCAATCAAAAGAAGAGTTATTCTCGTTACATGAGAGATCACTCACGATGGACTGACTGCAGAACGGGGTGGAACCGGAGATGCCAGCTCGTATTCTAATATTCACATGTTATTACGGACTCTGTAACTCTTCTCACACCACATTTTTCTCGAATAATCACGCTCCTCACAACTAAAAGGCATTCAAATGTGTGAATGCATTACCGTTTATGAAATACACTATATACTCACTTACTCACTCAAATACTTACAATCAGATTCCGTCTTCACATGGCATGAGGGGGCCTAACACAAAAGTTCCCATTTTCCCTCACTTCAGACAATTACAGTCTTCTTACTGCCGTTAGGGTGTGCGCACGTGTTCCAGGTACAAAAATATTAACCAGCTTTCTTCCGGCTTGCTCATTCGTTCCACGAATACGTACGTATGCCCATCTTTTTGCAAGGAGTCCATTCTGATGTTCTTATTGTTAACCTGTTTTCTGTTCTTCTCCTGATGTCTCCAACGCATTGATGCTTTGTTTTCGCAACATGGCTCGTTCGGTCACAAAAACATACTTCCCATATCCGACTGCGAAGTCCAACGTAATGTTGTTTGTGTCTGATATCTTCGCAAAACGCGCCCGAGCGCTCCGTAAAGTTTTCAGCGTTTGCAGTATTGGCTCAAATCGCGAGTGGATAACAGAGCGTTGGTAGATTGGTCAAGCTTCACAGCTTGGGAGACCCTGTCAGAGCATAAATACGGTTGTACCTTGCAGTTCAACACCGAGGCCATCCCTACGCCACAGCCTGCGGACTAGAGTGGGGCAGGTTACTTATATACTTCCATTATGCAAACGCTACTTCGCAGAAACATTTCACTCAAATTTTCTGCTTTCATATATAATTTGTCGAAACTGAATCTTTGTGGCAATTTACTCTAGTAAATTGACTGTTTTCGATGATAACAGTAGATTCATGAGAGAGCCTCTGAACAAGATTAGTCTTA